AATCATTTGAATTATTGAAAGAAAAATTATTGAAAGAAAAATTAATCACTGCACTTATAATAGTGTCACTTGACTTGGAGAAACCTTTTGAAAAAACGTGTGATGCTAGTGATTATGCTATTGGGGTTGTTTTACGACAAAGGCACAACAAAGTTTTTAAAGTGATATATTATGCTAGTTAAACTCTAAATGATGCTTAAATCAATTACACTACTACTGAAAGAGAGTTATTTGTTATTGTTTATGTCTTTATTGTTTGTCTTTGATAAATGTAGATCTTACTTAATTGGAACTAAATGTATAGTGTATAGAGATCATTCTGCTATAAGATACTTGATACAAAAGATGTTAAACCAAGATTAATTAGATGGATACTTCTATTATAAGAGTTTGATTTTATCATAGTTGATAGAAAGGGAATTGATAATCAAATAGATGATCATTTGTCTGGACTAAAGAGAAATATTAACTAATTTTGCAAATGAAATTTTAGAAAATTTACTGATGAACAATTATATAGTATTTTAAAAATGAATGTAACGTGGTATGCTGATATAGTAAACTATATTGTAAGTGATATTTTACCACCTGATATTAAAAATTTAAAATTAAATAAATTTATATATGATTCAAAATTCTATTTTTGAGATGACCCATATTTATATAAACAATGTAAAGATCTAATTATTAGAAGGTGTGTGCCTTATGGAGAAACTCAACAGGTAATTGAAAGATGTCATGATTATGAATTTGAAGGATATTTTAGAACAAATAGAACTACATATGAGATTTTGTAGTTGTATTTTATAGACCTACTCTTTTTAAAGATGTTATTGAATTATTAAAACATGCGATCGATGTCAGCGAGTAGAAAATATTTCTAGAAGAAATGAAATGCCTCTAAATTACACATTAGAAGTTGAAATTTTTTTAGTGGGACCATTTATGCCTTTATTTGGAAATTTATATATATTAGTTGTTGTTGATTATATGTCCAAATAGATTGAAGCTATTGTAGTGCCCAAATGTGATGCTCGGAGTGTTTCCAAATTTTTAATTAAAAATATTTTGATAAGATATAAAATGCCGAGAGTAATTATTACTAATGGAGGATGTCATTTTAGGAATAAGAGAATCAAAAAATTAATTAATAAATATGATATTATGCATATATTCTCTACTACTTATCATTCTCAAACTAGCGGTCTAGAAGAAATATCAAATCGTGAAATAAAGTGAATTCTAAAAAAAATTGTAAATCCTTATAAATTTGATTGGTCTGCTAGATTAGATATTGGATTATGGGCATATAGAACTGCTTATAAGACTCCTATAGGAATGTCCCCATATAGACTTATTTTTGGAAAAACATGTCAATTTCTAGTAGAATTGGAGCATAAAACATTTTAGGCTATTAAAAAATTTAATTTTAATCTAAAAGATGCTAGTGAGAAAAGATTATTGCAACTCAATGAACTTGAGGAGATTAGAAATGAAGCATATGATAATGCAAAAGTCTATAAGGAGAAAATGAAAATATGGCATGATCAAAAGATTATTAAGAAGAAGTTTGAACCTAGACAAGAAATTTTATTATATAATACAAGATTGATATTATTTCCAAGAAAATTAAAGTCTAGATGGTTAGGACCATTTAAACTGATTAAAGTCTATCATTATGGAACTGTTGTTATTAAAGATCCTACAACTGGAAAAATCTTTAAAGTTAAGGGGCATCGATTGAAATAATATTATGAAGGGCACATACAACAATTTAAAGAAGTTTTAGTGTTAAGTTAGCCCAACTAAACAAATGGTACGTCGGGCTGATGTTGTTAAACCAAGCGCTTTGTGGGAGGCAACCCATATATATCTATGTATTACTATTTTGTTTGATAAATGTTTTATATATTAGTAGATAATAATCCTACACAATTTTATATCTCATAAATTAAAATAAATATTGGCATTAGAGGAAAATTTAGAATCAAATTGAACCAAAAAAATGAAAAATACGCGAAGAAAAAGACGCGAATTTGGCCTCTGGCGCCGATGGCGCCCGCTATCGAGACCAATGGCATTGACATCACCATCGGGAGTGTTGTCGACGTCCCGAATAGTTTCATGAGGTTTTGATGTTTTTAGCAGACTTTTGTAGGATTTTTCTCTATAATAACCGTCGGGAGGTGTTTTTAAAGTCCTAAAAACTGCCTTGGATGACCAGAAACATCCTATTTTTAAATTCTATGGCCTCCAATTCTAGAAATACTTTCAGGTATGAAGTTTTCAATAGA